GTCAAGGTAACCCCCCTACACCTCATCACAAAGCTACTGAGTGGTGGGGCTGGAGAGACCCTAATCCATCTACCTCAGTGTCCAGTTCTCTCTCTCCCACATTCCAGCTGCCCTTCTGAGGCAGCTATAAAGAGGTCAAGTTAAAGCTACCCTCTGACCTTGGCAGTCATTCTTTGTTGGGTCCCAGGAACAGGGTCATCTGGGTCATTGTTTAAAATGTGATGAGAAGTGGGCATTTAACCAGACAACAGCTGTCGTGTGAATTGAGTGACTCAATTGTCCTTGAGAAATGTGGGTCCTCTGGGAGCGACTCCCAGCACTTTCTGTCCCCTGATCCGAGGTGACTAATGGGAAATCCATGTCCAACCCTAAACCTGGTGGCAAAGAGAATCGCCTTACACCCTGAAGCAGCCACTAAATTTTAGCTCTAGTGAAGTTGAGGGCTTGCTGAAAGCAGACAAATGTTTCACAGTTGTGTTTCACCGACTGCATGAAATCCTAGGACAACACAGCAAGAAGGCACCCTCCCATATTTGCCCATATTTGTTCGTTCGTTCATTCATTCATTCCCCAAACATTTCTTGAAAATGGTGCCAGGGTTTCCACGTGTGTGTGAGACGCGGCCTTCACCCTCAGGAGCTTCAGTCTAGTGGGGAGATAAACTAGTAGACATATAAGTAAGGGGCTTTCTTAGCCAACTCCTGCCTTTACCACATGAAGGAGTGGAGGCCCAGAGAGTGGGGGGGAGGGAGGCCCTCCTCTGCTTTCAAAGAAGAGATTTGCACAATTTTGCATTTGAGCCAGAGACCTCACAATGGCATTTTTTCAGGAGGCTGGAGGGGTTGAAATTTCTGTTTTCCCCAAGGCAAGCTGTAAGAGCATTCCTTTGACAAGAGAGTAAAACATCTGTGTTTACAAGAGAGATAAGCAGGAATCTGGCAGCTGTGGGCCTCTGAGGCTGCCTTATGAAGGTGTTGCCTCAAAAGACACAGTTTGAGGTGAAGATATCCAGAGGGGACAGCCTGGAGCCTGGCCCGGAGTGCAGTGTGGGTTTCTTCCTTCTGGTCTCCCATCTTGGTGGGGGGAGAGGGGGCAGCCAACCCTGTGCAGAATCAGGCATGGACTTGCTGCCTACTGAGTGGTTGTTTAATGGGTGGATTTCATCTTATTTCTGTTCTGTTCCATCCAACACTCAGCATACAGAGAGATCAGAACATTTCATAATCCCGCCATTTCCCATCTCCTAGATCACATTAAGTTCATAGTTAAGGCCCTGCACTATGGCCCACCTCACCAGCCTCGTCTCTCCTCCTCAAACTCTCAGGCATTCCATGCTGAGCCCAGATCAAAGTTCTTATTCTCAAACACACGTCCCTTCTTTCCTTCTGGCATTTGCCCATGCTGTTCCCTCTGGTTGGCATGCCCTTCCCTACCCTTTGCTGCCTGTCCTTTAAGACTCTTCCTCTTCCCTGCCCAGGAAGATAAAATTGGCGCCTCCTCTCTGAGAAACCTTTGAGGCCAGCACTTATCATGGTGGGATGATAGGGGAGAGGGAGGAGGAGAAAAAATCTCTCTCTCTTGAGTGTGTTTCCCTTTTCCACAACAGTTGCAAGTGCTTTCAGATAAAACCAATAGCGAGCAGTGCAGACAGACCTCATACACATGGCCCATCGGTGGTGGGGTTGGAGGTGCGGTCCCAGCAGTGGGCACAGGACACAATCCCACCTGCCTGGCTCTCCCTCTCCCCCTCCCTCGTCCCTCACACCTGTTCTCTAGGGTTGCACTCTTTTTGCTCTGCCTTCTGGAAAACCCTGGCTAAGATGCCCTGTTCTCTATCAAAAAACTCTCTTTAAGCCCTGGCCAGTGTGCTCAGTGGTTAGCGCGTTAGCTCATGCACCGAAGGGTCTTGAGTTTGAGTCTCCATCAAGGGCACACACCTAGGTTGCAGGTTTGATCCCTGGCTCCAGTCGGGGCATGTACAGGAGGCAACCAATTGATGTGTCTCTCTCACATCAATGTTTCCCTCTCTCTTTCTCTCTCTCTCTCTCTTCTCTCTTCCCCTTCCTCCCTTTCATTCTCTCTAAAAATCAATGGAAAAATATTCGTGGGTGAGGATTAAGAAAAAACAATAACAACAACAACAACAACAACAACACACACACACACACACACACACACACACACACACACACCTTAAGTCATTGATCCCATACTCTCATCCCCACAGGTCACACAAGCTTAGTGATCAGGAGCAGGGCTCAGGGCCCAGGCCTGTGGGTTTGAATCCCAGCCCCACCCCTGGCTGTCTCCATGGCCTTGAGGTTGCTGAGGAGGAGATGCTGGAGCAGCTTGCTCAGCACCATGCCACCTTTCTTCTAGATGGAGAGGCTGGAGGGCTAACCTTTCTATCGCCCATGAGCTCCGCACTCCCACACATCTAGGCTTCTGGATGAACCAGGTAGATGCACTCTAGTGAGATCTGGAAATCACAGTGAGTCGGAGAGCATCCTCCTGCCTGCCTCCTTCAGGCAAGCAAGGCTGTGTGAGCACAGGGTCTCTCTGGAGCCATGTGCTGGGGTCCATTCTTCACATCCCTGGGGGTTGAGGCAGCCCCAGAGGCAGGATGGTCTGAACGCTTCCTCTTCACATCCCTGGTTGGAGCAAAATGAACAAAGGACGAAGGTTCAGGCCACATGCTATCAGTTAAGTAAGGAGGAGACAGGTGGGGTTTTGCTGAACAGCACCTCTGACTAGGGTGACTGCGAACAAATACAGCTCCTCTGTTGGTGCCACCCTCCTCTTCCACGGGGGCTGACCTGGAGTCAAGGCTTAGCTCTATGGCTCTGTCACTGGGTGGCCTTTGGAGAAACACTGCACTCTCAGAGCCTCAGTTTCCCCATCTATAAAACAGGACAGATGAGTCTACCCATTCATGCAGGAAGAAGTGTTTTGTAGAAGGAAACCCAGCAGAAGGCTCCGGGTACCGGTGGCATCTGAGTTGTGTACCTCTGGGTAGCCCCAACATGTTACTTGGAGGAGTCAGGGTAATCCCACTGAAGAGATGCCAATGGAGCTCCTCCCCAGGCCTGGAGGGCTGCAGGCTGGTGGAGGCAGGTCCCTACACCACTGTGCACAGGAGCCTTGGACACCTCACACTGACAACAGGAAGGTCAGAGTTGGGGGGTCAAGGCTGGGGCTCCACCAACAGGCGAGGAAGGCTGGACAGGTGGGCCCATTTCCAGTCCTCGGGGTGGTCACCTGTGAACAGTGGGACAAAAGGAGGGACAGAGGGGTGCAGAGCATCTGGGATCTAGGCCTGACTCTAGCCCAGGTTCACTGTGTGCTTTTGGGCAAGTTTCTTCCATCTCTGGGCCTCAGTTTTCTCTCTTGTTAAACAAGAACTAAGTGGTCTCTGAGTCCCCCTCTAGCCCTGAAATTCTGTGGGTCAACAAGAAATCTCCCCTCGTCAGCATTCTGCTCCTGCACAAGCCCACAAAAGAAGCCAAAGCAGCCTGTTCTCCATTCATTTGGAAACGAATTCCCTGAATCCATCTCTCCTTCCCTAGATGCTTGCTCTTGCCGGTCCAGATCTGCACACCAGCGCCACGTGTTTCAGATATCTCAGCATGTGATACAGTTTCTCATCAGGCTACGGAAATGTTCTCCCAAACCACCAAACCGAGCGGTCTGCAACATGGAGCTGAAAATAAAGCAGCAGAAAGACAGTGGTGTTGTTGTGAAGAAGCGGTCAGGAACGACCTGGGAGGCAGAGATGACAGTGGAATGCCAGGCCTTGGCCACAAGGTGAGTCCAAGGGAGGCAAGGACTGTGTATCCTGAAACTGGTCCTCCTCGTAACAGCTTCAGGAGGTAGGTGTCATTTCCCCCATTATAGAGGTGAGGGAGGCAAGGCTCAGAGAGGTGAAGTCCTCTGCCCAAGGTCACACAGCCAGTAGCTGAATCAGGTTTTAAAATGTAGTCTGCCTGACTTTTCACTGTGCTACATGACCTTCCTGCTGATACTGATCTGTTTCTAAACATGTCCCCATTAGTGGACTGTCCCTTCAAGGACAAATGCTGGGTAGACTCAGCTCTTATCACAGAGCTCACAGACACAGAAAAGATGCTCAGTAAATGTTGGTGGAATTGAATAGAACTGAATTTCTACTAGCATCCACTTGACACTTGAAATTGATGGACAGGTGATACCCTGTTAGGGCTGTGGTGTGTATAATCTCTACAATGGCTCCCGGGGAGTTGGGCAGATAGACAAGGAGGTTTAGTCCCAGCGGGGGTGGAGGGAGGAGGGGCACAAGGTCAGACCCTTAGAAAGAATTAATAATATCCAAGGAATTCTCACGGAACAGTAGGGGGGAATAAAGATTTTTCAAAGACGCCCTAATGGCAAATTTTCTGGATTTTCCAGCTAATTTGAAGGTACCTACTTGGAACATTTTCTTGTCAGAAAAGATTTTAAAATACATTCATTCAGTGTGACATGATAATTGGGCCTGGCTGCCTGATGAATGCCTTTTATCTATTCCTGAGCTATTGTTCCCTGGGATCGAGCTGATGGGCTGGAACGGGCACTTTGTTAAATGCACAAACAGAGCTACTTGCAACAGTTCTGGCCACTGATGCAATGGGGGTCTCAGAAAGATTCCTAGGGGCTCATCATGAGAAGGTGTCAGAGAAGGAACTTCAGAGATTAGAGAAGGCAACTTCCTCACTGTTCTCCTGGGGGACTGAGGCCCAGGGAGGAGCAGGGCGTGCCGGGATCACACAATGTGGAAGTGGCGGAGATGTGGACCTGGTGTCCTGGCCCAGAACCAAGCCTCTCTCCCCTGCCTTCAAGGCTTCTGTGGAAAGAGGCCAAGCAATGGACAGTGCACATTGGTGCAAAGCCACTCACACCCCCTCTTGATCCTCTGCCCAGCGCCCGGAGAACACACTTGTCTCATGCAAGGGCTTGGCTGCCAGAGCAGGATGCATTTCTGACAGCTGACTTTTCTCAGCTATACAGTGCGTTATCAAATCAGCTATTTTTATAGGCTCCCTTTCCCTTTTTCCTTCTTTTATCTTTTCTTTATTTTAATGCCTTTGTTTTCTCGAAGGCAAATTTCCAGGCCTGGCCATCTGATAACCATTGCAAAGACTCCGTGAGTCTTTATCACTCTTTCTAAGAAAGAAGGATTTACTTGGCCTTATTATTTATCTTTACATGATATTTTGGGTTATCTTGATTTTTTTTGTTGAAATTCTTTTAGCATTTTGTTTTAACTAGTATCTGTTTTGGGGTATCTCAGAGCCTCCATATGTTAACACATTGTTTACAAAACTGTGGCTTGGGTTTTCTGCTTTGTCAAGGCAGAAAACTATTTTTCTCTTTAAAAACTCAGTGTTATCTGATCTGCCTTTCATTAACATTTGAGGAATAAAACAGTTCCATCGAGAGTATGACATTGACATTTCCATTGTTTTTCTTAGAAAACACCACAATGTTAATCATCCCTCAAGGGACTTCATTCTCTACAGATGATAACTAAGGTCCGGGCTAGGTGTGCATGTGTGTTGGTGTTTAGATGTGTTGGTGTCACGTGTCTGTGTTCTCATGCTTGTGTCTGGGAGTCTCAGTATGTAGTTATGTCACTGTACACGTGACTGTGTTTGTCTGCCAATGTGTCACTGGCTGTGTGTATGTCTAGAGCAGGGGTGGGCAAACTTTTTGACTCGAGGGCCACAATGGGTTCTTAAACTGGACCGGAGGGCCAGAACAAAAGCATGGATGGAGTGTTTGTGTGAACTAATATAAATTCAAAGTAAACATCATTACATAAAAGGGTACAGTCTTTTTTTTTTTTAGTTTTATTCATTTCAAACGGGCCGGATCCGGCCCGCAGGCCGTAGTTTGCCCACGGCTGGTCTAGAGTGATGGTGTGTGAGTGTGTGTGTACAGATGATTCTGTGTGGATCTGAATGTATGTGGATAAGTGCATTGTGTGTGCCTGTGTTTTATGGCCACGTGACATCTATGTTCATGAATGTATGTTTTTATGTACATGTACTGATACATATATACATAGGTGTTATGTGTGTGATGAGTCGTGTGTTTGTGTTCATGTGTCTGACTGTGGGCACATGTGTGGGGATGTCTTTGTCTGAGTTTTTTACTTGAGTGTTTGCAGGAGGGAAAGCTCAGATTTGTGTTCAGAACCTTCTATATACATGTACACAGTACCCTCTAGTGGGCATGATTAGAAAGGGTCCCAAACAAAACAAAAAAAAAGTTGGGGGGCGGGGGGGAGCAGGATCCAAATCACCTTCAATTCCAGACTGGTCCATGGCCACATACAGGGCAAAGTTTCCAGGATGGACCTTGAGAGGGCAGGAAAAGTCAGCCACCCACTTCACAGGGGACTCTGTGCAGGGTCCTGCCCTCAGTGTGGGGGTCCAGCTTCACAGTGTGGGGGTGAAAGGGCTCATTCTCTGGCGTGGAGGCAAGATCACTGAGCTTGGTGGGTCAGTGGGCCAGGAGGGAGGCAGCCTGCACACAATCCAGCCACAACGGGGAGGGACCTTACCGAGAGCTCACAGTCACTGGGGCCCCGCATTCTCCATTGCCCTGGCCAGGCCCACGCCAAGTCCCAGTGTTCTGGAAACAGGAACCCTTCACCTGTGATGCTCTGAGTTTCCTCTTGCCGTTGTAACACAGCAGTGCAACCTTAGCAACTGAAACTGACACATTCATTACGGTAGAGTTCTGGCGATCAGAAGACTAACATGGGCTGCTCAGGACTGTATCCTCTGGAGGCTCTGGGGAGAATCTGTTTCCTCCCCTTTTCCAGCTCCTGAAGGCACCTGCATTCCTGGCCCATGGCCCACCTTCCCAACAAAGCAATTATGAATGATCCTTTGTATGTCCTGCGGGATTTGCTGGGCTAATATTTTGTGGAAGGGGAATCTCTATTCATGAGGAATGTTGGACTACAGTCTTTTCTTTTATTGGAATGTCTTTGTCCGCTTTCGGTATCAGGGAAATGTTGGCCTTTAAAAATGACTAGAAGCGTGTCCTCCTCTTCTCTTTTCTGTGAGAGTCTGTGTAGAATTGGTGTTATTTCTTCCTTAGATAACTTGGTATTAGAATTCACCAGGGAAGCCATCTGAGTCTGGAGTTTCCTTTGTTGGGAGGTTTTCAATGATGAATTCAATTTGTTTAACAGACCCAGGGCTATTCTTGTTATCTATTTCTTCCTGAGTGAAGCTTTGGTAGTTTGAGTCTTCCAAGGAATTTGTCCATTTCCTCAGAGTTATTAACTGTATTGTGATAAAGCTGAGGAGAAGTCAGTGCTGAAATAACCAACCCATGAGTGAATGACTCGCCTAAGGAGACCATTGCAGACAAAGAGCAGAAATTCTGGGTTAGGAAATAATGTGAAATTCATGAAAAACTTTATGCTTTTTTGAAATGAGTCAGTTTATTAAAAGGTACAATTATGCACAAAGATGCAAAGCAAAGTCATCAAAAATTGGAAACCACATAAATGTCAAAGAAAGTTAATATATGGTATAGTCACTAAGTGGAATATATATTTTTAATTTAAATTATTTTTTAAAATTGATTTGAGAGAGAGGAAGGGGAGAGAGAGAAAGAAACATTGATTTGCTGTTCTACATATTTATGCATTCATTAGTTGATTCTTGTATGTGTCCTGACGGGGAACAAACCCACGACCTTGGCGTATCGGGACAATGCTCCAATCCACTGACCCACCTGGCCAGGGCTAGAATATATATTATAGAGTATTACTTAAACACTCTGAAAATATGCATAGCAACATCTAAAAAGAAGTACACCAAAATGTTAATACTAATTATTTGTTGAGGTTTTGAATCTACAGAGTCCTTTTTTTTTTCCTTTTCATATCCTCCAAATTTGCTATGTAGTATTTTTAAATATATTTTTATTCATTTCAGAAACAAAGGGCACGGGAGAGAGAGAGAGAAACATCAATGATGAGAGACTCATTGATTAGCTGCCTCCTGCATGCCCCTACTAGGGATCAAGCCCACAACCTGGGCATGTGCCCTCACTGGGGATCAAACTGTGACCTCCTGGTTCATAGGTCGAAGCTCAACCACTAAGCTACACTGGACAGGGTATATATATATTTTTTAAACTATATTTTTATTGATTTTTTTTTAGAGAGAGAGGAAAGGAGAAGGAGAAAAGATAGAAACATTCATTATAGAGAAACATCAATGGGCTGCCTCCTGCACGCCCCCTACTGGGGATTGAGCCCGCAACCCAGGCATATGCCCTGACTGGGAATTGAACCTCTTGGTGCATGAAATGACGCTCAGTCCACTGAGCCATGCCAGCTGGGCTATATATTTTTTAATGGAATGAAAAACTGTTAAGAGAAACAACATTTCCTCCCACTTCTAGTAGGGCATAACTAGACTTCCTATCAAACTCAGGGCCTGACACAAAGTAGTCCCCCAATAAATGCAGTAAAGAACCAAGACCAGCGATCTGAAGGTCCCTCTGTCCTGGGGCCTTGGCTGCTGCCAGCATGGCTGCTTCTCCTGCTGCTGTCACCATCACCACCACCAATCTGTGCCCAGGTCCCAGCCCTGGCTGCCCCTTTGGGGTCCTTCAGCACCCTGGACCACCCTAAATGTAGTGTGTGTGCATATCAAGTGGCCAGGCACACTGCCTACCATCCCCGAGGGGCTGAGCCCACATACACATGCTCTGCCACCAGCATATCTCCTCTGCTCACATATACGCTCCATTATCTCATT